GGGGGGGGGGGAGGGGGGAGTCCCGCCTATGCAGGATTCCTCAACCCGTGAGTTGTTCTCCTCCTTTTCGGGTTTCTTTCTTCTTGGAAATCTTGAATTTGAGTCCTACATGCTTTGGACAACCAGCAACATGAAGAAGAGTCCAAAAAAGAAGTGGCAAGAGGTCCTAATGGGAGAAGAGATCACAAAAAGAGCTTGAGAAGGAGAAAAACATCCCACCCGCGTGGGATGCCTTACCCGAGAGGAATTCAGTTTCCTCTCCACAAGAGGTGATCTTTTTCAACTTCTTGAGTCCTTTTTGGACTATGCTTGTGGCCAAGAAGGTAGAATCAATTTAGAAGAATCCCACTTCAAAAAGATTGGATCTTCATCAAGAAAGAAGAGAGAGAATTTCAAGATGATTCAGCCAAAGAGTTTTCTCTCCTAACTGAATTCCTTTTATCAAGGTAACCCCTCGTGGCATTTTATCAATTTTTTTTCGAATTAATTTTTAACTTATCAAGTTCATACTTGTGGTATTTTTAATCAATTCAAACTATCTTAATTACCTTAGTTCATAAATCCAGATGAATTATTGAGTTAAGTAGGAAAAATTTGTTGATAGTTTTATGATTCTAATTGCTAATGTTATATGCGGAGTTTGCGATCACGTTAGTTGATCTTGGTTTCTGCATCAGGATCCCTTCACTGCTTTCTAATTATCCCTTTTTATACAAGTATTAAAAAAATGATAAATTAAGTTAAAAGGTATAAGAATAAATTATACCTTTTATAATTAATTGTGATATAATTGTATATTTCCTTTTTTTGTTCTAAAATATTTGTATATATAGCGCTATAATATCAATAGGATAAACATTTAATCATTCTTAACATGGTATCAAAACTGTCAAAAAAATTCTAACCTCACTTACAAACTCTGTTTGACCTTTATTGGCAAAATAGAAAGAAGAAACTCTAAAATGGTTAGATCTGTCTTCATAGTTGATCACTATAGATTGGTGGCGAGCTACCGCCGTCGGCCATCAATAGCATCCAAGTCAACGTTCATCGCCAGCGTTCATAGCCAGCGCCAAAACCCTAATATATCGCAGCCTCGTATCTTTCGTCAAAACCTTTCGTCTCTGATGCCAAAACCCTTCATCCCAACCTTCTCTATCGTGTCTCGACATACAAGTAATGCCATCTCTCGTGACTAGACGTAGACGGGATACCATTTATCACGACCCCCTGCAACTAGATGTGACCGTCTTGGTCATGATGTTGTTCCATCCATCTTGCTCAGACTCGAGGCACTCTCTAGATGTTCAAGTTGCCCTTGGCTGTTGCTTCCTGTAGTTGCACAACCCCAACCGTGCCTTTGCCCTCACTACACCTCTATCCTGACATGCAATAGTCCTTTATGTAAATTCCAAATGGATCACTCAATCTTATATTCAGGGGGAACCTATATTGGAAGATAATGTGTCAGAAGCCTTTAACATAGTTCTGATCTCGAGAGAGAAAGAGAGAAGAGAGAAGAAGAGGAGACCGAAGTCGAAAAGGAGAATAGAGAGGCAAATTTTTATTAATTCTCGATGATGATTACAACAATGGAAGAATGGCCTTTTATAGGCCAAAATACAAAATAAAACAACGTGATTAGTGGTCGGAATCGGTGGTCGTTACGCATTGCAGCAGGGACCACAGGAGGTGATGGTGATGACAAGTGGCAACTGCGGGATCCTAATGAGCTGGTTACGGTTTGTCAACCCTAACCTTAACTGACTATATGAGTTTACCAGTTTGCCCTTTGGTGTGTGAATTACCTACTTTACCCCTCCTGCTATACTAAACGCTAAATGGATTCCTGACATAAGGATATAGAAACCTTAACAGACCTTAACTTACCACCTTTTTCACACGTCCTAAAACCATCACTATAAGAGAATGTTCAAAATCCACCAGAAAATTCATCACTACAAAAAAACCTTCAAAATCTATTCATTCAAGAGAGATCATACTAGACCATAGATTTTCTAAGGTATATATAAGGAGGAAGATGCCAAGTATTGAGCCAAAAACTGTCTAAAAACCCGACCTTGATCCTGGATCTAAGATAAGTCTTAAAAAGCTTACATATTTTGATAACGATATACCTATTGCACTTCATAAAAGGTATAAGAGAATGCACTAAACAAAACTCTTTGTATCTTATTTCACAATTTGTATCATTTGATAAGTATTCATCAATCAAAGAAATTTTCTCATAAGGTTAAATAATGAGTTTATCCTTAATATAATATCTGAGGCATTATCTTGTTAAAAAAGGAAAAATACTAAAAATATGAAAATGTAGACATTTGAAAAGAACCAAACTTGAGAAATTGTGGATCTAACTAAAGGCAAAAAACCAATGGGATGCAAATAGATACTTATAATCAAATATAAAACAGATGTGACAATCAAGAAATATCAAGCGAGACTGGTGACAAATGATTATACACAAAGATATGGGATAAACTATCAGGAGATATTTGCATTAGTAGTTAACATGAACACTGTGCAAATCTTGTAACCATTAATTGCCTATTTTAATTGGCAACTATAATAATTTGATTAAAAAATGTTTTCCAGCATGGAGATCTATAAGAAGAAATCAACATAGATATTCCACCAAACTTTAACAAAGAAGTAGGAGAAAATAAGATATCTAACTTAAAAAAGGGATTATATGAACTCAAACAATCACCAAAAGTATGGTTTGCCAAGTTCATAAGGACGATGATAAATCTTGGATTTAAGTAGGCTCAATAAGATTACACTGCATTCATCAAACATTCAGAGATAATGAGAGTTACAACTCTCCTAATATAAGTTGATAACATTATCATAACAAGAAATAATAAGAAGGAACAACTGACACTAAAACAATATTTGACAAAAGAATTTGAAATCAAGGAACTAAATAATCTAAAGTATTTTTCTGGAATTAAAGTTGTCCACTCAAAATTAAAAATTTTTAGTTCTCAACAGAAATACATCCATAACTTATTAAGATACACTGACAAGATAGCATGCAAATCACCTAGCACTCCTATCTATCTTAATCATAAATTAGGAAAAGTAGAGGAAAATATGTTAGTAAACAAAGAAACATATCAGAGATTAATTAGGAAATTGATATACCTATCCCACAAGAGACCAGATGTCGTCTATCTAATAAGTGTTATAAAGCAATCCGTGCACAATATGCACCTACAAATAGCCCACAAAGTACTGTAATACCAAAAAAGGTCATCATGGAAAGAATTATATTCAAGAAAAATGACAAACTGCTCTTAAAAGTCTATACTGATGTGGATTATGTAGGGTCAATAAGAGACAGAAGAACCACTATACAATTTTATACCTTCGTTTAGAGTAACCTAGTCACCTAGAGAATTAAGAAACAAACGTACACAAGGAGTAGGTGAACTGTTATGGATAGAATTTTGAAAGATCTAAGAATCAAATGAGAAAACTTTGTACACCTACTATAGCAACAAATCGACTATAAATATCACTCATAGTCCGGTGCAACACGACCAGACCAAACATATTGAGCACAATTGACATTTTATTTAAAAAAAAATTGGCATTTGTCTAATATATAACCCATACATGTTAATCAATTCTCAATTAGTAGATACTTCAATTAAAGGTTCAAGTATCCCAGCATTCCAAGTTCTTATTGGCAAGCTAGGGATGGAAAACAATCTATTCCCCTACTTAAGGGTAAGGATCGGATAAATTAAGTTAATGGGTATAAGGATAAATTACATCTTTTATAATTAATTGTAATTAACTGTCTACTCCTTTTCATATCATAGAAAACTTGTATATATAGTGTTGTAATATTCAACAAATACATATTCAACAATTTTTAACAAGTAAAAGGTAGATGAGAATCTCATCATTTTCTTTCCTTTCCCTACACTTCCCAAACTATAAACATCAACCGTCATTTTTATTTTTCTTAAATACATCATATTTTGCTATCATTTTAACATTTTTTTGAATATATCATTTTAACATATATAAATTTATAAAATGAAAATTCAAAACAAGCTTCTACACTAGCCGGGGTCTATATCTCCAAATAGTAAACCCACTCAGAATTAAAAAGAAGTAATCAGAATGGATTAGATCAAGTTTCCGAACAGAAGAACCATTTAGGCTCCATAATCACCTATGGCACCAATTGCATCAAGACGATCAGCATCTTGGACAACCCCAAATTCTGGACACTTTTCAAAATTCACAATCCCAGAAACTTCCTCCTTGAAACCTGAAAGCAGAAAGTGATCTAAATAATCATATCATCAAATAATACGTGCCCTGACCAGAAATGAGACGAAGCAAATATTTACAAATTCTACTCAAATTTAGAAACGTCACTGGCCATATGGATATGTCTGTGCATGTGTGTATGGTTGAGAGAGATAAAGAAAGGAGAAATTTTTTTTTCATGTAGAGAAAGAGAGAACTCTCTTCTGTAAGAGCAATAGTGAAAGAAGCAGATCAAAAGTACATTAAGGTGTAAAACTGATAAGACAGGAGGAAAATGAGAGTGCTATGAACAGACAAGAGATAATTGACTTCATAATTTTGCTTGACCCATTAACCAATTTTTCATGCGTCAAGTAAATTTATCATATCTACTTCCTAAAAAAAAGATTGAAACTCTTGTGTCTTAACAGTGAGAGAGGCTAAGAGTAAACTGAGAACTAAGGAGATGAAATGCAAGGGATAGACAGTAAAGAACAAGAACTCCAAAGACATCAAAAGGGAGATAACAGGGAATAAGACCCAAGCAAAAGAATTCTCAACTCACATTTTCTATCATTGTCTAGGTTAGTAGCCTTTATATAGCCAGTAATTACAGCCCTAATTACAACTAATTAGGGAAATATTAAAATAATATAAACAAAATCAACAGTTTCTAAATCTCATCCAAATTTTAAACCTACAAAACAAACTTCTATTTCCTAAATGACAAGATTTCATAATAATTACAAAAATATATTCTGTTAAAAATATCTTCCATTTGAAAATCTTGCATCATTCTCTGTGCTCATTAAAAACTTGACCTCACTCTGAAGTGATAAAGTTCCGATGCATTCAAAATCTTCTAAATACTTGAGACTTGTGATTTCTATAAACTCCATGAGAACTCAAAAAGATGGGTAAAGTAAACATTATACGATGATTAAGCCATTAAGGAAGAGCGAAATCATCATAAATTTTTTTGTCAGAAAAAAAAAAAGTTATTAAGAAATAAAGAGAAATACAGTGAAGGACACAAAAGAGAAAAGAAAATAACAGAAAATTAAAACTAGTAAAAATCAAAAAGCATAGCCAGCCATTCTTTTTGTAAAAGAGACAATAATCTCCAAAGTTCCTATCACCTTAACCTGTAAAGATGCCAAAATGGAAAGCCTATGCTAATGAACTAAAGTGACAGAAATTTGATCCCTAGAAAGCCAATGTGGACAAAAGCAACTTCATTAAGAACCACTTTGTCGTTTACTCTGGGGTGGTTCAGAAAAAAAAAAAAAATCTTCAAGATTTACATCTTTTAACAAAGCATTGGCCAAATTTTTAAGGTCGACTTGACAATTTGCACAATATCCAACAAATTTGGATTTTTGAGTTCAGATCTGGGTCATGCTCAATTAAACAGGCAACAATTAGTCTAGATGCGACAATAATTTAAACAGGTTATAACACAAGTAGCTTCTCCAAGATATTGATATGGATGTATACTTGGTTAGGTGGAAATGTCTTGATACTTTCAGTGCTTCATGTGCACCAAAAATTTGATAACATAAACCATATGTAATTGGGTAAATCATATGATGAATTATAATTACAAGTTGGTTAGGCTCCATCAATGGAACTACTGATCTTTTGAAAATAGTTTTAGTGTATGATGCATATGTCTTCATGTATTAACAACTTAGCTTTGTTAGAGTTGACTAAAATTATACTAAATCAGGCCATATAATGGGAATCGATTTGTTTAAGGATTGTATTCCATCTCGATTTATGGTGATATAACTTAAATATGAAGGCCAAGAAAGTTCAAAAATACTAGACACCACAGAAATTACCCATTCCCTTGATGATCTCTAATATCTTCTTCTTCTTACTCTTTTCTAACTCCACTTCGTCAAGAAAAGTTTCAAGTATTCTTCCTTCTGATTGATCCCTATATTATACAAATTGTCCATCAGTGGAAGAACAGAAAAACAATGAAATTGTGTCGAATAAAGTAGAGAAATGTAACAAATAGGAGCTCATTTTCTACCGAACACATGCATTACATGCTTCATTGGACTGGACTTTCATCCTGAAACATGTTCCTAAACAAAAATTGAGAATTATGCACCGTTCTACAAGAAGAGTGCATTAACAGATTAACTAAGAAGCCAAACCAAAATGTAATATGCAAATTGCTTGGACTACAATGCATCTAGCACTATATTTTATCTTACGCATATTTGGCCCGCAAAAGCAGAAGATTCTTATTGAAGAAAAGTAAATGCATCACTTCCTTGCTACCACCATCTCTCCCCACCTTCAAACCCTGAACTAAATCTGAGTCTATGTCTTCAGTAAAATCTTGCTAAATGCTTCAATCACCGAATGAAAATAGTAGATGACTGCCTCTCCTGAGGTGTTCAAAGGCTAGAAGGTTACAAGATTCTGTTTTATGCCTTCTTAACTTGATGTGGGTAATGATTGGAATCAATCAAGCAAGAGATTTGGGCCTAGCCATTATGTAAGTTTGTAAACAAAAAGAACTTCTCAATTTTATTCCAGTGTCCCTCTTGTAGACCATCTGGAAAGAAAGAAATAAATTAGTATATTTTTAGGGAACTTGCTCTCTTTTGATAAAATTAGAAACTGTTGGTTCCAGTCCCTGGATATTTTGTTACCAGTGCATTCCATCCTCAATGATGTGGATTTGAGAAAATTATTGACATTTTGATTTCTGATATCTAATTATGCCGTTCTTGTGTTATAGGCGCCTTGCACCTTTTTATGATATTTTATTCTTCTCTCAAAAAAGTAGAATTTCAAAGGAAAAGAAAAAGGAATACGAGGATAATATCGTTCCCTTCAAGAAGCAAACTGTGAACATAAAGCATTATGTATAACCACAATATAAGTCAATTTCCCCAGATTATAATTAAGCAAAAGCATATTACAAACAAACCTCAAATATTTGTAGTCCTCTGCAACAGCCAAGAGGAATCCAAAACTTCAGAAAAGTAATGTCTCGAGGGGCAAAATTTTGAGGCAAAAAATGGACCATGAAACAATATAAACAAAGAAAAAACGCATTAAGTACAAACATAAATTTATTTTCTTATCAACAAGAAAGTGAAGGTCTCTCTCTCCCTCCTCTCTCTCAATATATATATACATATATATATCATATTTAAGAACATATGCATATGTATATATTTTTATGTATGTGAAGGTATATGCTATAAATTATAAACAATTTTTATATCTACATATACATATAGATTTGTATTTGTATACTTGGACTTATATAAACAGGAAAAGAATACATTATCAAATACACATATATTAATAAACTGGCTAAAGTACCAAAATTCCCCATGTATTACATAAAAATATTCAAATTCCCCTGAATTATTTTTCTGTTCAAAATTCCCTTTTACTTTCAAAAAACAGTCAAAATTTCTCCTCTCTGTTAGATCAACTAATGTGGTTTGATTTTCTTAATAGTCTCGAATATTTAAATTTGATTAAAATACCAAAATCCCTCATGTGCTATACAAAAATATTTAAAATTTCTCTTAAACTATTTTTTTGTTCAACATTCTCCTTGTGCTTTTAGAAAAAGTCAAAATTCCCCCCTCTCCGTTAGATCCAACTAATGCCGTTTGGAAACTACCAAGATGGAGGAAACGTGTCAAGTCACCTGTCACCTCATTTAAATTTGCCGGCGTAAATGGCACATCAGCACTCGTGGTGACAAATTTCTTGTTGACCAAACAGGCTATCGTCTTTTCCATCTTCTTCGTCCCCAGCTTAACTTGGTTTTTAAATTTATGGTACTTTAAGTGAAACTAAATCTTTGACAACGCTAAAAATGGGTTTTATTAACAAACAATTAGATTAAAAATGTAGTTATAAGCACCTGACAACCACCCTCGTAAATCAGACTCTTCAAAATCCAAGTTTACGTTCGGTTTCTTAAGTGGAGGAAAGGAAGAGTAAAGTAGGGAGGGAGAGAAAACAATACCTATATCGTGCAGAAGTGCAGCAAGCTCCACCTGCCAAGCAAGACAACCAGAGAGATATCCGTAAGTTGCCAAGAAAACACAATCACGGTTTCATATCGAATACGGAAAACCCTCAATCTTTGTTTGAAGATTTTAAAAGAATAACATTTCGTAATAGAAATAAGGAACTTCATTGATGGAATCAAAATGTAAAACTGAAATAGTTAGAATCAACATGCAGGTGATATATCAGCATATAAATACAAGTCACAAGTAGGAATTGAAATCGAGCGATTGACAGTGAAATCTGAGTCGAAGTTAATCAATCAGATGGGAAGTCAAGGGTTTACGATTTCCATGGAGTCAGGGTTGGAGGAGAGGCCTTCCTCCCGTGCGAGGCAGAGAGCTAGGTCCCTGACCCTCCAGACATGAAAAGCATCATGGGAAGCGTCGTTCCCCTTCATTACTCTTTCCATAAGTTCCTCTGCTTTTCTCACTCTCTCTCTATTCGCCATTTCCTTTCTCTGTTTTCTACAGATTACACACAAATCTCGACTAGAAGAGAACACACGTAAGGAAAAGGGACTCTGGTAATATAAGGATTTTTTTTTTAAGACGGATTTATTTTGATAAAAATAAAAGGAAAAAATTAATGGGGTTTATAATTGAAAATAAATCAAATAATGTGAAGTATTAAATATGATTTTATAAAAATAAAAGATAATAATTATAAAAATAAATTATTGTAATTTTTTTAAGTTTTATAATTTATTTATATCAACATTTTCTTCTTTCATTGTAACGACTCGTTTTCTCTTAAAAGAAAGGAGCATTATCTCACATATAAACCTGATAAATTTTATGCAATATTATACTTGTAATATCCAGACTAGAGAATTGGTTTGGGATAATTATTCTTATTTATAATAAATTATATAAATAATTAATTTAATGTATTTTAATTTAATTTTATTGAATTTTTGAAAAAAAAAATAATTAGGGATGAAATTAAAAATAATTTTAAGAAAAATTGTTAAAATTTTAAATTTAGATGGTGTTTTTGAAAGAATTGAAAACAAGATGTGAAATTGCAAAAAAAAAAAAGTTTGACTACGTGGGACAGCTCGGTCAGCAGTCCCGGCGAAACAGAACATGCTGCGTGGTAACTCCGCTGACATCAGCACCACGCGGAAGGCCACGCGAGCGATCCGCGTGCCCGGCGATCCGACTGTCCAGATCTTATCCCACGTACGTGAACGATCTAGATGCATTCTCTCTTTAGACACGATCGAACGGTTAGATTTAAGTCGATCGTGCGGCCCAGATTTATTCTTCGAATGAGATAGATCCAACGGACGAGAGAGGGTCACGTATTTCCGAATGGACGACCTAGATCGATACAGGGTGGGTATTTAAGCATCGCGTTCCAAGGAACTCTTACCCTAGCTGCACCAACCCTCGCCAAAGAAAAAGAACTAGACGCCGGAGAATGAGGCCGACCACCAGTCACTGTCGCGCCAGAGCCACCGTCGACCGCCAAAAAAAATAAATTTTTTTCCTTCCCCCTCGGAATTCAATTTCCAGTCTCCCTATGACCATATTGGGGTAAAATGGACGGCAGGTAAGCTAGAAATTGCGAGCAAAATTTAGCGGAGCTGCTGCAACCAAAACCCAAAACCCTCTCTGGTGGCTCCCTTTCCATTTCATGTTTCACACGATTCTTTGACCATCGTGTTTAACATCTCTTTCTGGTGCAGGTTAGCTGAAGAAGAACCCTAGCCGTAAATGATGACTGGTGTAGTCACCGCACCCGGAGACACCCCCACCGGTATGTTTCGATTTTTTTTTATTTTTCTCAACTAACCGAGGCTTCCTAACGTATTTTGTTCGCAAGAATACGTATAAAATCGACCAAAACATATCAAAATCGGATAGGTCAAGGTGAACCGCCGTCGTGGTATAGCGGCAGCGCCGTGCTAGAACCTTATAATTGGTCAAAAAGGGTTTCCAACATTGATTTCAGATTTTTGGGATATTTTTGGATACGTGACGAGTATTTTGATTTTTGCAGAGAAAGTTTAGGAAACCCGGGGTCTGTTAGAAGGTATAATAAATAGCACAGTACTTCGAAACACCGATGTGAATTTGAATCTCTCACCTTATTTTTTGTTACGGTAAATTAAGGTTTAAAAACAATAATCTCATGTTCTATGAAAATTAGAAAAAACTCTAACAATAATTACAGGTCACTAGTGGAGTCAGGAACTGGTCAACATACGATTGTCCTAACTTGTCTGTATTACCTATTTATCTTTCCTATACTGTTTAAATTGCTTATTATTCGCCATGTGCTTTAAATTATTAATTTGAAATATTTCTTATTTATTGATTGTGTTACCTAATTGTGATTTTCTTGATCTGATTGATGGGTTAGAAATAAAGGTCTTAATTACGTGTCTTGATTGTTAAACTGTATATTTTACCTACGTACCATTTAAATTAACCTATCAATATAAAATGAAATGTTGGTATACAATTGGTGGTTGTTTTGTTGATGAAAATCTATATATGAAGGACTTATTGGGTATCCTAGGAAAGGATGGACGAACCCAGTACATAAGGAACCCTATAATGGACATTACCTCAGTTGGAGAGGGATGAGAGGTCCCATACTATAAGGGTTTGGAAGATATAATTCACCCTCATACTGGATGGAGTATCGAGGCAATGGTGTGTTTGGTGCCCATTACCAAATGGGATATGAGGACAGTCAGGTTAATGGTCAAATTTAGATGCAAGGTTTACGAGTAAGGGGATATCTCTATGGACCCCCCAAGGATTCCAGTAAGTAGGTTAAAACGGAGAATTATTAATTTTATTCATTTGTGCATGAAATTAAAATATTATTTGGTTACTTGTCTTCATAGGTTGATTTTGAAAAACTCATAACGGTAAGTGTAGAATAAATGTTTTAAAGTTAAATGAATTTACTTAAATTAAGAACTCCATCAATCGTTTTGTAATTTTTACCAACCTTCGATTTTTCATACCAATGATTAGTGTGATATTCTTACTGGTTTAGTGTAGCTCACCCTTTTCTTAACTATTTTAGATCAAGAAGACCAAGATCCAAATCCCGATCAGCAAGAGGGTTATGAGTAGTTTACCTCTCGAATTCTCTTCAGGTACTCGTGGAGGTTAACCTCTTAGGATATTTATTTATTTGTTTTTAATTATGGTTTTATATTTTTTATGAACTGCTGTAGTAGGAATATTCCAATAGCCCTATTGGACATTCTAATTTACTATGTAAGGAATGAAAACCCTAACTATATCATTTACTTCCACAATTAAAATATAAATTCGTTTCTTTTTAGTTTTTGAGCCTTTACAGTTGGTATCAAAGTTAGATTTCTCATAACCATTCCTTATACAAAGAACTAAAAACACCAAAATACAAACTCTCGCTTAACCCTTTCTTGTGAAATATAGGTGCAAGGATATCTAATGGTTCCACGGGGGAGCCACGTGGGCAATCTGCGTGCTTGGGTGATCCAATGGCTCGAGCTTGCTCCTGCGAGCACGAAGGGTCCATATTGATTTCACAGATAAGCATGATCAGACGATCCGCGCACTTTTGATTAAAAGACCTAGATTAATTTTTCAAATAAGAGTTATCCAACGGCTGAGGAGGGGTCACGTCTCCTCGAACGAATAACCCAGATTAATTGGAGAGGAGTATTTAAACTCCTCTCCACAAGGAACCCTAACCCTAGTCGCCAGAGAGGAAATCGAAGAATAAGAAGAATGATGGCCGGAAAGTGAACCAATCGTCGGAGAAGGAGACTAGCCACCATCGACACCGAAAAGGTAAACATTTTCCCCACTTTCGTTTGAAATTGGATTTTACACCTCCGTACAACCATATCAAAGCCAAAAGGCTAAAGGGTGAACCAGAAATCACGAGTGGAGCTCGGGCGAACTGCCGCGGCCGCAACCCTAAAACTCCTCCGATGAACCCCTTTTCGGTTCTTGTTTCCTTTGATTCTTTGATTAATATGTTCTTCATCTTTTTCTAGTATAGGTTTAACCGCAAGAGAGGAATGGCGGAACCACCGCACCAAAAAACTCCTCCGGCGGTAGGGTCTTAATTGTTTCCTTTTTGGACTGATAAAGGCCTCCTAACCCTATTTTTTGCACGTTTCCATGTAAAATTGGTCAAAACTGGCCGAGAACGGCCAGGCCAAGAGAAAGCACTGCTGTTGGTGATGGAGCCCGTGCTGGAGCACAATGGCACTGCTGTGTCAGAACCTTAAATCGGACGAAAAAATTTGAAAATGCGCATTTTGACCTTTTTGGGATATGTGAGACGTGTTTTTTATTTTTGCAGGAAAAACCAGGAAACTCAAGAATCGCCAGGAGATACAGTGAAAAGAATAGTATTTCGAACATCAATCCAGAGTAAGAATGTAATGTCCAGCCCGAAAATCGACCGGGATGAATGTTTGTATTCATAAAACAATTATATAAATATTTAATTTAATTTATTTTAATTTAGTTTTATTAAATTTTTGAGAAAAATTGAATTAGAAATGAAATTGAAAACAAATTTGGGGAAAATGGTTGAAATTTTAAATTCGGAGTGTTTTTAAAAGAAAATTTAAAAATAAAGGTTTAAATCGTAAAAAGAAAAAGTTTGGCCAAATTGGATGACCCGATAGCAGCCCGGGTGAACCAAAGCATACCGCATGACAACCCCGCTGACATTGGCACCACGCGGGAGGCCATGCGAGCAATCTGCATGCCTGACGATCTGACAGTCTGGATCTCATCCCGCGCACGTAAACAGCATAGATGCATTCCCTTTTTAGACGCGATTGAACAATCAAATTCAATCCAATCATACGGCTCAGATTCATTCCCCAAATAAGATAGATTTAACGGATAAAAGAGGGCCACGTATTCCCGAACGGACGGTCCAGATCGACACAGATTAGGTATTTAAGCATCGCATTCTAGGAAACTCTAACTTTAATCACACAGCCTTCATCGAAGAAGAAGAACCAGATGCTGGAGAAGGAGGCCGACCACCGGCCGCCGCCAAACCAAAGCAATCGCTGACTGCCGAAAATGGTGAAAATTTTCCCTTTTCACTCGAAATTCAATTCTGAGTGTCTCTATAGCTATATTAGAGCAAAATAGACAACGAGTGCGTCAGAAACCGCTAGCAAAGCATGGCAGAGCTGCCATGGCCAAAACTCAAAACCCTCTCTGACGACCCAATTCTCGTTTTTCATTTCACACGATTCTTTGAGCATCGTGTTCACCGTCTCTTTCTGGTGCAGGTTAACTAAAAAAGAACCCCAACCGTGAATGAAGACCAACGAAGTCGCCAAACCTGGAGACCCCCCTCCCCTTCCCTCGCTGGTAGGTTTTAGTTTTTGACTTTTTCGACTAACTGAGAGTTCTTAACGTATTTTTTCATAGGGATACATGTAAAATTGGCCAAAATCGGCCAGGTTTAGGCGAATCGCCGTCGTGGGCGGCAGAGCTGGCGTTGGAGTATGGCAGTGCT